CGTTAGTTTCGCCTGTAGTATCTACCAATTTCGCAATATGCTTCGGTTCTTTAGCCCACTACTTGTTAGCCAGTTGTCGCCGCACCGCAGTGTCGGCGTTTGTTGTACCAATTCGCTATTAGCCCCTCGGCGCTTGTTCTACGGATTCATTGTTAGCCCCTCGGCCCTTGCGGCCTTTGTTTCGGCTTCCCTCCCTCCGCCTCTGGCCTCACTACTACACTTACTGCACTCTCCCCACCCTACTGTCTCCCTATGGGCTTGGTCTCGGTGGATTTGAAATGTTACATTAAAATTTTTACCAAGCCCAGCACCTGTATTTCATCTTGAGTGAGAGTGCAGATAATTGTCAGTATTTGGGGCGCAGAACCAAATCAGTTAATTGACTGCACGGAAATGACTTCTAACCTCTGACCCGAGGTCACATTTGGTTTCCGTTCTAATATCGTGCTCTGCTGCAGCCACTCTAGAAAATCCTCGAAAAAAATCCTCCCACCCTCCCACCCGTGGATTTGAAATGTTACATTAAAATTTTTACCAAGCCCAGCACCTGTATTTCATCTTGAGTGAGAGTGCAGATAATTGGGTTCACATATGTATTGTGGAATGGGCCACGTTTAGGAATCATGTATTCTTTGTTGCATTCCAAATCACGGAACAACTGGACAACGATCCTAAAGGTTTCATAACATATCTTCCACTTCGTGTTATTAAAAAATATTTTGGAATGGAATACATTTTAGAACTCAGATGTATTCCATTTCTTAGTATTTAAAATCCCGGTTTAAATTGAAACACGTTTTGGAATGAAACAGCTACCTGTAAAGGAGGCCATCCGTTAGGAAAATCCCACTGTTCTCCGCTGTGGATAGTTGAAGTAGGAACTCCTCCGGGATAGTCCAGAACATTCTCCCTCTGTCCAAATGATATCATGAGTTAAGAAGACACCCTATGTGAACCAACATTCAATATATCCCCTGCCTCCCTCCCTCTCCTCCCTAAGACCTCCTTTCCAATGACTTTCCTCAGCCCCCTCTCCCATCAAACCCCCTCTCACCTCCGTCCCTCTTACCCCCTCTATTCCTCTTACCTCCCCCTCCGACCTTCCTCTAACTTCCTTCACTCTAACCTTCCTATTACTTCCTTGACAGTCCCGCCTTCCTGTCACTTCCCTCAGACCACCCTTTCTCTGAAACCTCCATTCTAACCTTCCTCCCTTTGAACTCCATATCTTCGAAACTCCTATTACTACTCTAACCTCCCCCCGGACCTCCCCCCTCAAACTTCCCTCTGACCACCCTTTCTCTGAAACCTCCATCCTTTCCCCCTTAACCTTCCTCCCATTCAACTCCCTCCCTTCGAAATGCCCATCTCCTTCCTCCTCTGACCTTGAGATAGTTCACCACCCTCCTCTCGATGTCCGACTCAGCTGTCCCATCGCCGTAACACGTGGTGTACAGCGGGAATATGTTAGAGGCGTAGAACCTTTGGCAGGTAACAGTGGTAAACGCTTATTTAACATGCAAACTAGTATCATAGACTGACAAGATTTATTTGCTTTTAGGGCTACGAATCTTTTGTTAACACAGTCAGGACTCGATTCTAATAGGGGGACTCAATTGAGCGATTGCTTTTAGAATTTATGTATGACTTTTGTATGTGATAGATATGATCAACCATTATGACCAAAAGGGCTAAACGTTCTAGCCAACACTAAGTAAATTTGGACTTACCCAAATTTTCGGCCGACTCCGTCAGCCTTGTTCACGGATGGAACCTTCTACTGCAGCTTCCGAGACGTGACGTCGGAAACACGTGATTGCAACAAAGGATCGTACGTGTCAGATAACCTGTGTCGCTCCCCGTCTCTGTTCAGTGTTGGACGGTTGGCTCGAATGTACACCACCTCATTTACTCCTCTCGCGAAATCCGGTTCTGAGTCCAGAATTTTCACTTTGTCCAGCGAGACGGAGTGTTCTGGAGGTTCTATGTGTTTATCAGGCATATGTTGAGATGCCTCTGAGCTGGTAGAACTCTGGCGTTGGTGTTCAAGAAACCGTGTTTTCAACGAGCGTCCCAATTTACTTAGTGCTGGCTAGAACGTTTAGCCCCTTTGGTCATGCATAATGAAGTATACCAACACAGATGAACTTTCATGCTATGATCATGTTTAAGTATGATTTCAAGACAATAAAATACACACAATTTACAAGGTACGCTAATATATCAGTGAAATTAGTTTGAACCACTTAATTTTTTTTAATGTAGTCTGGTGTCCAACTCCTATGGGACAAAACTCATACCTAGTTGAACTAGGCGGTGGGGATGGTCTAAAGAGAGCTCGCCCAAACCACGTTAGACTGGAAACCGCTAAAAAGATGTCGGCAAGCTGTTGAGATTGTACCTGTTATTATGCTGTCCTGTAGCTGAGTTATAGTCCAGCCAGACGCCTTGTTGATCGCTCCAGAGGACGGCATCAATGGCAGATCTGCGCCGCTCTACCGCCGCCTGGTACCGGGCAGCAGCGTCGCCGAGTCCTGTTCATGTACGGGGCATTTTCGTAGTGAAAATCAAACTGTTTCCCAACTAACAAGAAATCTGACTCACTGGAATTACTGACCGAATCTCTCGATCACAGTAAAGTCTGCACTGGGTCGAAGTTCGTCGGAAGTTGGTACCGCCCCCCGTCCTGGTTAAGAGAAGGTACCGTCATCCGACAAACTTTGACGTGTCTACTGAGCACCTAGGTCAGATTGCTGATGAAAATTGATCAGCAATCAATCAGTTAAAAAATCCGGTTGAATTTCTTTAAAGTTTCATGCTAAGCTTTCTTCATCTTCACTTTTATCTAGCTCAAATTCCTCTGACTTCAAGCTAATATACATGTATGTGTGATAAACCTGTTAATACTGGAGCGGTCTGTCTAAAGAGACACAAATGAAATAGTCGACGGCAGCTAGCAGCTAACGAGAATACAGTATGAAAAAGGTCTGTGTAATACAATACAAAACATGTTATCTAGCGTCTGTATTCGCTGTTACAACAAGTAGAAGATTAGCTTTTCGGTGAACTAAAACAGGATCGAAATGACGTTTGTTCCATTTCTGGTCAAAGCATTTAAGTAAATTTCTGTAGGTTACCTAACCGAAGAAATATGTCTGCCAGAGCTGCTTCACAGGCACACATGAAAACATTGAGGTCGACAGGAATTATGTCCATAGTGCTGATACTGCTGATGTTTGCACTGTCTTCGAACCAGCGAGAGGAAAAGTCCCAGCCGCTCTCACAGGCAGTAGCGACGTTAGCGTGGAACCTCGCAGGGTCGGAACCTGTAGGTAACAACGGAATCATAACGTCTCACAGGCAGTAGCTTAAATTTATTATTACTTTTGTCTAGTTACCTTTGCCAGGATGTTATATTTAATCAGCGTTTTTATGTCTGTATGCACGTAAAAACGCTAGATAGATAGATAGATAGATAGATAGGGCCACACTGATTTAATTTTATGGATGACATCCGCGCGCGCATTGATTTTCGCTTGTTCTCCAAAAAAAAAAAATCATGTCTTTTGAGGCTTCACGGAACTCCGGAACTCGGCTGGAACTCGGTACAGACTGCCGACTCATGAATGCCGCAAAAGGGCGGCTTATCGTAAAACTTCTTTTGTACTACCGCAAAACGTCAATTTTGTCGTAAATGAACCTTTTGCACATGCGTACTAGCTACAATAACAATGTAAACCGGGAAGTTTGCAATATGGCGGCAGCGTCCTCCTCAAAAATTACGTCAAAGTGCAGAGGAAAACTGGAGGCGTTGTTGTCGGATGGTATGCCATCGACATTGGCGAGGGGGGATGTAACGTTTGCCCAGCTTTACGAGCGACTTGTGGTAGCCAGCGAGTATCGCCAGGACAGACGTCTTTTCCAGAGCGGCCACAACGATGAGAGAAATGGGAGAGGAGTTGAGGTGGCCTTTAAGTGGGTCAGGCCATGCCATTTTTTCAGTTCGGCTGTTTTGTACGTATTGTTGTTGACAAAACTGGCCTTCAACAACTAAAGCCGAAGATTGTCAGCGGAAGTCAGCTTTTGAGGTAAGAATAGTTCAGTTATTTTTTTTGTTTGTTTTGTTTTTCTGATTTTGATCGAGAATCTGGGAACGCAGCAAAATTTATGGGGAGGGGCGCGTACACGTGTTATGATACAGACAAAATAAAGTTGTTAATGATTTACAGTAGTTGTATGTAGATTATAATGTTGTAATCATATGGAAAATTTCCAACAAGATGCATTTCTTCATGCAAGTTTTTGTTGATTTTCTGTTGGGTGTTTTTTTTTAAATATTGAGCTCTCGCAAATTTTCACAAAATTTCCTCTTTGAAAAATGATTTTTATTTCTCTGTTTCATATCCGTTTTGTGCAGGGCTCTTTCATGTAGTGCACCAGGTGTATTGCTACTCTGCGCAAGTCAAGTCTAGGGCGCTGACCATTCTGCCACTGGTCTGCTGGATGTGTGGGGAAACAAACACGCTTCCCATCCCTCCAGAGAAACTGCAAGAGTTTCAGTGCTTTCACCCAGTGTGCCATGTAGGTTAAATATTATTGTGTACCTCATGTTTTAATTGTACATTCATTCTCACCTGTATTAGTAATGTTGTAACTTACAATACACTGTACTTCAATTTTATTTGGAAACATACATTCCAAGTAAATCAATTTTGCATACCATGTCATTTTTCTGTAGGTGTGCAAAGCTGGTGTTGGAGAGCGTACAAGAGTGAAGAGAAAGCTGAAGAGGAAGAGATCTAGAGAGGAAGAAGATGGACCACTAACTTTCAGGTGGGTACTGTTTCTGCTCACTTTTACATTTCATCTATTCAATCCCCTTGTTGTATGCACTTCTACAGGGTATAAAGTATGAACTATATACTGTATATATAATGTATATATCTACCTTTTACGTTTTTCTGTAGGGAGAGAAAACTGCGAAGGAGGAAGCTGCAAAGAAGGAAGCTGCGAAGAAGGAAGCTGCAAAGGAGGAAGCTGTGAAGGAGGATGAGACCAGAATAAGATGATCTACATCTACCTCCTGCAAATAAAAACTTGTTTATTTGATGCAGTCACTGTGTCCTGTGGTTCAATCCGCATTACCGGCTTTGTATTCCTGTGGTTAAGCAGCATTTTTTTTTTGGCTGGATTTTTTTTTTCGCCCTCTCGCATTAGTTTTGTGGTCCCCAGAGGATGTCATCCATAAAATTAAATCAGTGTGGCCTAGATACATAGAAAAATAGATAGATATCTCGTATTGATATCTCGTAATCTGGACATGTTAGGGTCATAAAATTTCGGATGGCGGATCGATGGTGTCTTTTGTTTTGAGGAACCAAAGCCTGTTCTCCTTTAACTGCTTATACTGGCTCTTATCCTGTGTTATGTTACTTAGGCCACACCGACTTAATTTTATGGATGACATCCGCGCGCGAATTGATTTTCGCCTGTTTTAAAAAAAAGATCACGTCCTCTGAGGCTTTGGCCTGGCTTTAGGCCTGGGAAGTCCATGGTAGTTAGCGACAATACGGAACCGGTGGTAACTACGAAGGGCTGCACCCAGGCTGTCCTTCGTACAGTGCTGATTCATAAATTCCGCAAAAAGCCAGCATGTGCTGGCTTGTCGTATACGTCGCTAAGTACTACCACAAATTCATAATATAGCTTTGTATTCCTGTGGTTTAGTAGCATTTTTATTTTTAGCGGGATTTTTTTATTCACCCGCTCGCACTAATTTGGGTTTGTCCTCCATAACATTAAGGCGGTATGGCCTTACCAGTTTGCAAAGAACTTGCGACTTCTTCGTCCTCTCGCCAAGACTCGGGCCTAAACGGAAATGGAGAAAAGTCATCATGCCCTATTTCCCTTTTTTTAGAAGGTCAAGTTAAAACTGTAATTTCCAACACAATAAATTTTAGTTCTTGTTGTAGTTGTTGTAGACTCAAAACTTCGTTGT